GCGCTTTATTGACAAAAGTCTCTTCTGTATATCAATCTCTATGACTTTTGTTGCGTCGTTGGTGTTCATATTTTATTACTGGTATTAAGTTGATATCATCAGTAGATATGTATTTTATACAATAGAAATAGATTTCTTTGAAATTAGGTACTGTGAATATGTGTCTTCATAAGTTAAAATGAAAACACCAATCAAGATAGTGTTCCCTTCATATGACGAGTTTTCATTAACTTCTTCTCTATCATATAGACGCACATATTCATTTTCTTCAATATCTAGATTAAATATGTCTTCTCCTTCATGCTTTTGTTCTATGACAAACTGTAAATGAACATAAACAAGAGGATCGCATTTTCTATGCTTGAAATATTGCGCCCAACGCTGACTGCGCTAATTAAAGTCTCTATAAATAATTTGAAGTCAAATATATATGATGCGTGTGTCAATATATCACGCTTAACCAAGCCTTCGTGGTGTCTAGTCATCAGAGGCTAGCGACTGTCGACTACTTTACAGCGTATCTCTTCTCTCTCGAGATGGTCATTTGGCAGTTCAGGTTTAGCCATTGAACTAAATACGTTCTGATAAAAAATTAGAGTGAAGTTATTAATATTTAGTACATAATGTGATAAGTAATGGATAAAAGTAATGCTTTCCGCAAAGGTATATGTATCTTGCTTGTGCCAAAGGGAAGAGCATCGAGCATAAAGCAATCGGCATTTCTAGGCGGTGTTATTGCTTGGGTAGAAATTTAATTTGTTTTGAGTGTGTGACGTTTTGTTATCTTTTGTTTGCATATTTGTTTAATAAAACTTTTATCAATGTACCGATTTACATGAAATTTTGTATATATGGCCTATATTTTGTATATTGTCTGTAAGATACAAAAGTATATATCCAGACTTAATAGTGAACTACATTGATATTTATTTTTTCAAACAGTTCATCGCAATTTAAAAAAAAAACACTTCCTCATCAATACAACCTTCTTTTTTATTTATTTTTGCTTGGTAAAGGTTCACATTTTTAAAATAAAATAAAACAATTATGAAACAAACTTTTTCAACTCCTATTAATTACTTTTGTTGGCCGGCCCGGATACTAACGCTCAGGGGTTTTAATGTGGGAGGAAACCGCGTAGTCAGGCAGGTGACCTCAAACCTTTTTACGTCCGATCTATCCCCTGTCACCTTGGTTAAATGGGAGTGCCCGTGTAATCAACCTTTTCATATTGGTTAAGCTGTTTTATTCTTATATCCAATATGACCTAAAATCTGAATTTAAAAACAATTTAAAACTTTCATTTTTTTTGTTATACATATCTTAATTTCTTTTACGGTAATATTTGACTGCACTGCAAAAATAATCCAAACCAAGAAAAAATACTGAAGTATCAGGAGGCTATTATTTAAAAAATCGATAAAACTTAAACAAATCATGAGGAAAGGAATTCTTTTACAGTTAGACCCTATGAAGAAGTACAAGGAAAATACGATAGTAGTGTTCCGGAAGTGTGAACGTATTCTGCTTCATCGATGACATCCAACACGTAAATCTAAGTGGAATTTTAGTAATGTCACGTCCGCACATCCTTAACTCAGGCAGTGACATAAAATCTACAAGGCACTCATATTTGCATAATAAATACGTCAACCTTCAAATCACAGAGAAGTAGCATATCTCCCTGCGATATCCGATGTCAACAATAAAACTAGTTTTTAGTCCACATCAACATGTAACTTCACAAACCCTGTGTTGTAAGTTTGTCCGTCAGCAGGCGACATTTACAATGCAGGTTGTAATATTCGGATTAACCGAATAAATTGTGACATGTGACATAGAGTAGCAGGGATGTTGCTATCAAAAATGAGTTTAAGGTCCTCGCAATAATCAGGGAAATGTGTAGATGCAAAAGAAATGGTGTAGAATATGGGAGGTCACGATAAAGTTAGAAATGCTGGTCTCATGTCACTGTCTTCCCGTGAGTCTGTTTATGTCAATGAATTGGAAAGCTTTACTCCTGAAGTACGTGTGATTATACATTTCCCGGTAAAATACCGATATCGGGACGCACGTGTACTATTGTTTACCAGGGGCTTTTCCGTTTATGCGAAACAACCGTTTTGACCGTTTATAAATGTAACAATTTCGGGTTTAAATCCTGGCGGACCTGCAAATGTGTATGCAGGCCTTGCAAGGCGTTTTCAAGGCTAGCCTGAAAGCAGCATCAGATTACTAGGTCTGACCTTATTTAATAAACGAACAACAGTGGTCCGATCGGTTTGACCGTTTTAACGAAAACGGCCCAGGTGTTACTATAATTTGCACTACGATATTAAATTCCCGATACGCAATACGGAAATGACGACTCAGTGTACATGCACATTTCGATCAAGATAATTGAGTCCGAGCTGTACTTTTTCCGGAGTACGTCACGATAATGGACGCTGATGACGATGTGTTGAGCCACCTTAAACACAAGTGCATATTTAGCATTATGTATTAACATATTTGCGATTACCAAAGTCAACGTCTTTCACTCCAAGGCCGCGGTGGCCAAGTGGTAAAAGCGTCTGAAATTATGCTAACACCTAACTTCCACTACTGTGTCGCGGGTTCGAGGCCTACGTGGGGCAGTTGCAAGGTACTGTCCGTAGGTCGGTGGGGTTTTTCGGGGAACTCCGGCTTTCCACCACCACCAAAACCTGGCACGTCCTTAAATGACCAGAGCTGTTAATAGGACGTACAACTTAAACAGATCAAAACAAAACAAAACCAACACTTAAAGGCAAGCATTGTTTTTATAAGATGCATAAACATTGCGGTACCTTAATATATATTTCAATTACATTTTCTCTTTGATTTTGTAAATAAAAATCTATAAGATGATAAGCTGTTAATAGGAGGTAAAACTTAAACAACTCAAAACAAAACAGAACCAACACTCCAAGGCAATAATTGGTTTTTATAAGATGCATAAAAATTACGGTACCTTAATTTATATTTCAATTAAATTTTCTCTTTGATTTTGTAAATAAAAATCGATAAAATGATAAGTACTTGTTAACATTATTTCAAAACCTTAGTTTTGTCTTGCATTTCAAACGTAGATCGTCGTACTCAGTATGAAATCATTTATATTGTACCAGGCACAGACTCATCAGACTGAGTAGCATTATCGAAAAGCAGAATAATCCATAACCAATTACAGGTTACTGAAATTGTTTAACTGACCCTTTCACGTGGTACTGTTCAGATGGTAAAAAGAAACACTTAGTGTTATTTGAATAACTAGGCTTGGCTTTGTAATAAAATACAGTACACCAATCCCATAATTATCTTATTATGTTTGGTAATGTGTTCTTAGTACAACTTGAAAATTTGGTCCTAACAACTACACACGGACCTACGTCATGTGATGATGATTTGCTTAAAATATGGAGAAAATAACAATTAAATTACATCAGGGTTGTGAGATTCTAAAAGATGATTACAGTTCAAATATACATTTCTATAGTCGGAGCTAGGAGGCATGCGCTCTTTTAAAACATAAAAGTACTGAACCTGTCATAGTGTTATTTATAATATAAGGACAATTCAGAACGAATTATCGTTTACAAAGTGGTTAAATAAGCGCAAGAGTAGAAATGATGTCAAAATTGCTAACGCATCGTTCATTCAATAAAATGTATATTAAGGTAGAAAATTAGTTCCGATTCGTTCGCTTTTTTCCGACAGAGAGTTACTTGCTTATTGGCTTTTGTTAGACGTTATACGGAAGAAATATATCTAATATACTTTTTTCTTTAAAACAAAAAATGTGCCATAGGGATTTGACCCGGGAACACCCTCTTAAATAAAACAAGTTTTTGCAGCACTTCCGATAAGGCTAACTGCTATATTAATCATTTTCCCCATCCTAACTCGAAATGATTTCAAAACGTTCCAGCTCCCGAAAATTACATAATTTCGCAAGATAATAATTAAAAACGGTAGTATACTGTGAAAATGCCTTGTTCTTCTACCAAATGATAACAACTATTCTGCATTTGCCGTTTATTTCATTTGAAATGTATACCAACACTTACACCCACTCATTTAACAGTACAGTGCTTTTAGTAATTATAACAGATAAATCCATATGGAGTTGACATATTATTAAAGAGAAGACATTGAGGTAATTAATACAAATTGTCTCTTGTAGCATCGTAGCTCTATCTAACATGCAAACAAAGAGTTGTCAATAGCAAAACAAAGCCTACATTAGTCTCCATTGATTTCACCAATGACTAGTAATATAACACTGTTAATTGATTTTATAGAAGTCAACTGTTCTATAGATGTCGGTAGCAGATCACGTCATTCGGTGGCCGATCCCCAGACATACCACACATGTAATTGCTAAAGGAATAATCAAGCACGGCTTTATGAAAGAATTTCAGAAAGATTCGTCATAGCGTTTTTTTTAGAAGACTGGTCATAGTGTTGACCACCTGTGGTTTTGTAGTACATACATTGGATAAGTCGTTGCACTGCGTTAAACGTATACAGGTATGTTTGAATTACATTTTACATTCATGGGCTTATATAACTATAATCTCTTATATGTGTGTTGCAAAACATGCAACGCCGTTGCCTTAAAGTTTGATATTCTAGTTTTAATTTTAAACATATGTAGAAAGTGATTCACGTGCAACTAGTTTACTCATAACACATCGTTTAAAGAAAAAGAGTAAAAATGTTACATGATTTTATTATGCTTGGAATGTCGACAATTCTACAAACTACATAAACACGTATGACAATGTGTTAATCTCTCTGTTTGCCTTCCCAAAATGCTTTCAAATCAGATACCACATTTCTTTAAATACGTATTTATGTAGGCGTTTCTGTTACAGTTGGCGTACGCATATAAACATTTTCAACGACTGAACATGGGAAGGATTTTTGTATTGCTTCTGTTTGTGATATGCTTTGACGTCATCCTATCACAAGGTACCATGGATGACTTGGTGAGACTGAAGAATACTCTGTTCCAGAACTACACCAAGGACTTCCGGCCTGTTTATAACATGAGTGACCCGATACACGTGACACTCGATATGTTCCTGATCTCTATTTTAGACTTAGACGAAGTAACCGGTACAATCACCCTAAACTGTGGTCTCACATTGGTTTGGACTGATTACCGCCTTGCCTGGAACCCAAACGAATTCGGTATCACCTCCTTCGTGTTTAACTCGTCAAATGTGTGGAAACCGCGAATTTACATTACAACATCAGCTGACGATTTGTCGGATTTCTCTTACGACGCTTTCGATGTAAGGGTGAATTCTAACGGCACGGTATTTGCGTCACCAGGTCGACATGTAAAGGCTAGTTGCAGCTTCGACATGACCAGATTTCCGACTGATTCACAAACGTGTGTCATGCAAATTGCGTCATGGATATTCGCAGCTTCTGAGATGGTATTCATCATAGCACGACCACAAATCAACATGGTTTACTATAAACCTAATGGGGAGTGGGATATTGACTGGACGTCTGTCACAAACAACACTGATTTCGGATCTTACTATTCTGTTTTAGACTTTTCAATACATCTGACAAGACGTTCTGCATACTTTATTATATCCATGACTATACCAGTGCTACTCCTTTGCTTTCTCAACCCGTTCGTGTTTTTCTTGCCCACCTCCTCAGGAGAGCGGATTTCCTACACAATCACCATGTTCCTGTCGTTGGCCGTATTTATGACACTTATCGGAGAAAATATGCCAAAGGTTTCAGATCCGATGGCAGGGATTTCCTATTTCCTCTTCGTGGCTATGTTGTACAGTTGTCTGCTGATCGTGTTGACGATATTCACCCTGCGTTGTGGCGCTAAGAACGATAAACACAGGTTCCCTGGATGGTTGTTGCGGTTAGCCTCACGAAAAGCATTTCACAAATCAGTCAACAGCATCAATAAAGTAGATGACGCCAATAAAGTCAAAATTGTCCAGGTGATGGAGTATGGTAATGCACCTGAGGAGACAATTTCTCACGGAGACGAAGAACTACAAAAGACTGTGAGGAAGGAGGACATAATGCGTTTCATTGACAGAAGTCTTTTTTACATAACATTCTTAATACTGGTTGTTATTTGTGTCGTTTTTAGCTTTTACTTCTGGTTTTAATCTGAAAGGCATGTCGTAATTATAATTCCAGATTTCATTTTGACGCCAAATAGATATTTGACTGGTTCGGATTTCTCCTTTTTTCTTACATCTGTAAGTGAAAGATATATTATGAAATCGAAATTCCAAATATTTCATGTTTTATTATTTTTTTACTTAAATAAAGGGTTATTAATCAGTTAATTCTATATTGGCCCAGTTATGAGGCCAAGGTATGCAGGTCGAGGGCCAATGTGACAGACCGAGGCCTTATGACTTGGTCAATGTGGAATTAGCTGATTAATAACACTTTTATTGATTAACTACTTGTATAATATTGGCAGTCTATAATCTTAAAATAATAAACATTAACTGTTTAAATTAAAAAAAAAAAAAAATAACAGTTATTTCAAAATATTGTTCAGTTGATGTCTCGCTCCACTGAGAATGAACCGTGCGTCCCGAGTAGGCGACTATAAATGACCACGCTGACAACATCTACCAAGTGCACCCGTGTACTGGAGTACACGTGCCAGCCTTCTGCTGCTCTTGCCGCACAAGACAAGTTATCCCCGCTCCTACTGCGAACCGCGGGAAGATTTTATTCTTCCTGTGCTTAAGACATACACTGACTGTACTTCGCTTTTTTCTGTGGAGGCATTACATTAATATTTATGGTACCTCCTGAGATATTTGCACCATTGAACAAGGCATGTCTTCGCCATTATTGGCGGAGCTGTCGGATGGTTTGCGGTCTATTTCCGTTGTCAATGAAGCGTTCCTGAAAGTGATGTTAATCACCGCCGATAAGTATAGACATGTTCCGAATACTATGGCGTGCGTTCGATTGGCGCCTTATCGATATTGGGCCAGTTTCTCCCGTATTGGCCCAGTTCTTCGGTATTGGCACAGTTTCTCCCATATTGGCACAGTTTGTTTTGATGTCAATTGGGCAGTTATCTCATATTATTGTCAATAAACAAGTAGTTAATTAATATAAGATAGAGCTATACTGAGAAAAGGCATAGAAGCTGCATGTGTATAGAATATAATTATGAGTCACATTTGCACATTTTGTTGCGGCTTTTGTTTACCTGTGTATATATATATAAGACTTTCTTTATGGATACTTAAGTAGTGCTTATTTACGCGAGGCGTTTAAGAAGGTGTATCTAGAATCAGTATCGTGCTTTGTATTCAGATAAGTGTATTACCTGCATCACGTTATAAAATATACTCATAACATCAATCGCGCTGTTTATTTTCTTCCTCACTGTCTGACAAATTACTACCTTTTTGCAACAAACGACAATGTAGTAGCTAGTAGTTTGGAGTAAATGAAAGAATTTTCGGATAGTGGTCGGTGCAGATGAGTAGAGGGGATATTACTGTATTATTTTCTTATTATGAGACGTTGTATAGGTACTATCTTATTCCGATCTCGTTACATATATGTCTGTTAATACTATTATATCATATCAAGTTACAATTTCATGTCAAGAAAGTACATGCATTTTTATATATATTCATTAAGCCTAATTGTAGAAAGACGGATCTATGAGGCAAGGGAAGCAATCCATACCACGTGCTACCCGTGTATGTGGGTTGAATCTTCGGACACTAAAACAGACGAGAGAGAGAGATCATTCAAGTTTCCTGGTTTATTTCTAGCGGAACATAGATAATCATATGATTGGATAGTTACACATCTTTCTCATGTTCTTTATTCGACGATGTATATGCATTCATTTCATGTCAACAAATTACATGCATTTTTACGATGGCCGACAAGAGCCTGGCAAAAAGAGAAGATTTTTCATATTTTTTTGTACCATGGTACACTTTTATATGGTACACAAAGAGATTAAAATTCAAATCTTTGTGTATCATGTAAAAGTGTACCATGGTACACAAAGATATGAAAGCAGAAATAAAATCAACCCGTTGTTTTTGTATCTTTCTGTACAAAAATAACGGCCGAAAACAGCCATGGTACAGAAACATATGAAACCATCAGACGAAATGGTTACTAAGTATGACAAATTACACCCTGATAAGGCTGTCATCACATACAATGAAATGTTATCGCACGGAATGTCTTTTATTTTTATTCAAATGAGCTACCAAACTATTACTTACTCATTTAGATTAAAATCAACTATTCAATATCCTTTACCGAATTTTATAAATGTTTTACGTTAAAAAGGAAGTAATTATGGATTATTTTTCTAATACTTTCATTTCTAATGTATTCTATCTACTTCAACTTCTCAAATGAAAGAAACTCCAAATCAGTTGAAAACGCCGACGGAGTCCGTAGGGGACAAGGGGACAATCAATTTAATTACTTCGAAGGATAAATAGTCTGCCTTTTTATAAAAAAAATAATGGGGGGGGGGGGGGGGGGGATGATCTAGTTGTACGATTCTTTTATAATCTGGACATCTATCAAAACAAGGGAAATGACAAAAATATACAGATGTCGTTTATACCTTTTCGAGACCCTGCCAAGGCCCCAATACACAATTGAAACTAACTCCGTTTTTCATCAGATGTGATTAATGAACTTCACGACTTGTTTCGACGTTGTAATAAGGGCTTCACTATTCGAGGTCAGTTCTGGTCATAGTGTCCGATAACAACATTCTGATGCTCTGGTGTTACACTTTTTTCATATCTATTTGCACCGTAGGTGGTACAAAAAGAAATGAAATAAGTGTAACGCGGTACTAAACGGAGAGAAGCTTTCATATTTTTTTGTACCGGGCAAAAGTGTACCACGGTACAGAAAATTTGAACATTCAAATCATTTTGCCGGCTGATATCGGCTGGTGATACATATACATGTGAAAGTAAAGAGTTTCTTTGTAAAGTTGTTTATAATCTTTATGTGCCATGGTACAGTTTTACATGGTACACAAAGATTTGAATTTTCATATCTTTGTGTACCATATAAAAGTGTACCGTGGTACAAATAGATATGAAAAATCATATATTTGTGTCAGGCTCTTGTCGGCCATCGTACATTTTTATATATTCATTAAGATTAATTGGAGAAAAGTCGGTGGGTTTACAAGGCAAGGGAAGCAATCCATACCACGTGCTACCCGTGTTTGGGGGTGGAATCATCGGACACTAAAACAGACGAGAGAGAGAGAGATCATTCAGGTTTCCGGTATATTTATGACGGAACATAGATGATCACATGGTAACATAACATATTGAATGAAAAACATGATTTCTGATTTCTGGAATCCATGGTAACCAATAAAACACTGTTTTATATGGTTACCCATAGCAACCAATGTCATCTCAAGTAACAACATATTGTCATACTACAAGTAATAAGATATGATTATTGTATCATATTGGAGTATTAATATTTTGTTTTACTTATTTTTATAAGAATCGAAACAATATTGACTAGAACCATACAATCTCATCTACTGACAGTTTTTAAAATTACATCCCTGTACAATCTATCTACTGACATTTCCTCAAATTTGTATTTGAAACCACAGAAATATTGAACAAACAAAAAAATATTCCCTAAGACAATATCATATACACATTGCTGAAGGGTAATACTTTCATACATACATTCATGATAAAACAGTATAATCTTAATTTTGACTAGATTTACTGCACCAAAACAACTAATATCAATTCAATTTCGCATTACATTGACTAAACGTTAAATATTGCTGTCAGATTAACCATACAGACTGTTAATGCTCCCTAATAAGTAATCACTGACCTAAAGTATTATTTGATATGAGTGATATAGGCATAATATTCATAGTTCCATTCGAACAGATTTAACATTGTAATAACTTCAATAATTCTAGATGACAACTTCAAAAGATCTTAACATAACTCAACTTTTGGTAAAGTACATTTAAAATTATTTAATGACCCTAATTAAACTATATCACACTGCATTTGCCTAGCTATTCAATTAAATTGAAATAGTTTCGTATATGACAATCGGCCCTGTTGACAAAATATCCTATCTCAACAAGTTGTTATTACACCTGTTTTGTTTACATATGGGCGCAGCCATATTTGACTGAGGCATCATGGTCTAACTGTTACTAAAAATAAGCACTTATGCGCCAACAACTGTAAAAAGTGAAAAAGTAAGGTTTAACTCGTAAGATCGCGTACTTAAATTGCTCTACAACTCGTACCGATCCTATCCTATAAAATCAACATATTTCTACAAATCTATGAGACACAACCCTGTTTTCGTGTCTCTTCGAATGCTCAGCAAAATGTCGAATTTCCGAATATTATCACTAATTTCACATGCAGAATATGGTTTATATAGATTACCCGTACATTTCTTACTCACAGTAAACTGTTCATAATACATGACAAGGCTTTTGAGAGTAGAACCTACCTTAAACAAACGAGAGGAGATCATTCAAGTTTCCAGGTTTATTCATGGCGGAACAAAGATGATCACATGACCGCTCTGGCGGCAAAATACCAAGAAACCCAAGTTGTCTCCCTTTGCCCACTTCAATGGTAAAGCTGTACACTACTGACTTAACAGGATTATCAATTGGAAAAAATACTAATGCATACACAAATGGGGATTATCTACCCTTATTCATTTTTAGAAAAGTGTTTGTCTGGTATTGCTATGTGTGATGCGTTTTGATTACCTCTATTCCTGTGGTCATGTCACCTCCGGTGCAACGAGTTCATCATTGAAATACTTACATAGTCTTTTAATCACATTAAACATGAATATCAAATGAAGCGATTGCATGCTTCATTTAAGTAATCTGAACTTGATAACCACAAATATTATTTGTATTCCTAACTTTTCAAAAGATATGTTATATAGGATGCATAGGGGGTCACCATAAATCTGGAGTGATATACATATAATAAAACCAGTTAAAATCTAGGTAGACTATATTTCATTTCTTTAAGATGTGTACATATTTGTATGTTAACATGAAATATATGCGAAACACAAGAAGAAAAACCTATGTGTTTGGTATGCTGAT